GGACCACAACACCTCAGCTTGGAGTGCAGGTGGAGAACTGGGGGAGAGAGGCAGTCACTCCGTATGCTGAGAGGCTGTGCAGCTCTGAGCAGGAGAGCTGGCTGCAAACACAAAGGCCTCGCCTCACAGGTTTGAGGCTTCATAGGGCCCATCCTACCTGCAGTCACACCTGGGGCCCCTGCCTCCAGGACATCCACCCGGCTTGGTGTAGTCAGAGTCACCCAGCAAGTGTAAACCAGTTAAAGAGCTTAGGAGGATGAGGTGGCAGGGTGGGCCCTGGCAAGGAGGGGATTAGGGCCCAAGCAGGACCCCAGCCCTCCCCACGCATGAACCTGAGCACCCCAGCTTCTCTCCAGCTGGGCAGGGACTGCCAGAGCAACTGCATCCCCAAGTTCTAGGCCCAGCTCTGCCTCAGACTAGCTGTGTAATCCTGGCAGTAACCTGTCCCTCTGTGGGCCTCTGTTTCCCCATTGTACTACTGAAGGGTTGAGGCTGGTTGCCTGTCTTCAGTCCCCGCTAGCTAAAGACACTGCCTGGGTCAGCTTTGGGGCCTGACAGCTTTCAGGGCCCAACCCCTCTTTCCTGTCTCTAGCCTGGAACTCTTTGTTTTCTGTATTTTTTGTAGAGATGGGGGTCTCGCCATATTGCCCAGGCTGGTCTTGAACTCTCGAGCTCAAGTGGTCCTCCCTCCTTGGCCTTCCAAAATGCTGGGATTACAGGCATGAGACACCATGCCCAGCTCCTGGCTTGGGAACTCGGGCTAGATTACCTTGCCTGAGTTCTGTTCCCAGCCCTGGAGATAGAATGGGGCCTCCCCTGGAGCAGAGGAGTGCTGTTGGCCAGTTCTTTCCCTGGCAGCCACCTGTCCTGCCACCATCTTATTGCTTTGATGCAGCCTCCCAGAGAAGGTGCCTCTACTGCCTGCTGGTGAGCTATGGCTTCCCCAACACAGCTCATCACCTGCCACTCCGTGCCTCAACCTTTCAGCCTCTTGCCTGCCCAGACAGCCCAGCCTGGGCCTACCCTCAAGCCCCCACCTCTCACTTAGAGCCTTGCTGAGGGCCTACTTGTTGGTGGGAAGAGACTGTCCTGTCCCCTGGAGGTGGCACTGTCAGAGCCAGGGGGTGGGAGGTAGTCTGTCTTGGAGCTGGAGCAGGGGCTAAGGTACAAGAGGAGATGTGAAAAGGAAAAGATAGGGCAAGCTCAGGCCAGGCAGGGACAGAGCCCAGTCTGTAGGCAGCCAGCAGCCAGCACAGCCTTGGCCTAGAACTTGAGGGAGGTCTAAGGAAAGGTTCATGAAGGAGATAATGTTACAGCTGAGAGTGAGTGGAGGCCATCTGGTGTCCCTAGGGAGGAAATGTTCTAAACAAAGGGAGCATCTTGCGCAGGGTCCTGGTGGTGTTGGAGCACTTGGTCTATGTGGGTACATGTCATTTGGGCGTGTCTGGTGTTGACAAGGCTGAAGAAGCCAGCAGGCACCTGGAGCCTGGCTGAGGTGACTGGAGGTGCCTGGCAGGGGTGGAGGTGGAAGGCTGTTGGGGCAGTGGACAGGTGGGCAGGGCAGGGTAGGGCAGGGCAGGGCAGTCACCGTTCGAGTCAAACCCGTTTGCAGGCAAGATCAGCTGCAGGGCCTGGCAGCCTGGCAGGGAGGGAGGGGCTCAGGGAAGGCTGGTCTCTTTGGCTGGAGCGGTCGTGACAAATCTGGCCTGGACAAGGACTGAGTCACCTGGGACTTGGGAAGAGCTTGAGGCCCTGGGGCGGCGCAGCCTAAGGCAGTCCTCACTGGCTGGCTGTGCCCTTGGACAGCACGTTTGCTCATGATCTCCAGCTGGGACCCAATCCCCGTTTTCCTTCTTCCTTTCCATACATCTCACCCATCACGATGTCTTCTACCTTCTACCACTTCAAGTTAGGGGCTCTTGAAGAAGACTGGGGCCCAGATAAAGAGTATGACACGGCCTAAGTCAAACAGTGAGCATGTTTAGGAGGTAAGATGCCAAGCCAAATCCACGGCCACCAGTAGCCTCAGTGGGGGAGGGGAGGCGTTAGTTGCTGGCCACCAGACAGGGGCATACAATATTGGAAGCAGAAAAATGCTTGTCGGCAAGAGACAGAAATGAACAGAAATGACTTTACATACAACCAAGCACATGAAGGGTCACCTTCTCCCTGTCTGATGAACCCCAAGAAGAAAAGGATGAGGACAGTTTCCACAGTGTTACTCACCCCTCCATCACTTCCTTCTGCAAATTCTTCAGATGTCCTGTGCTGGTCTATGTGACCCAGTGATGAATCAGAAGGGGCCCTGCCCTCCCAGAGCTCAAGCTCTAGAACAATAAAGGGTGACAGCCGCTATGCTGGATTGATGTCATCTGATGCAACTAGGGGGGTGCACAGAAGGAAGTGATCAGCTTGACTGGGTGGCAGGCAGGGGAGGCTTTCCGGACACTGGGTGGAGGCTTGAAGAATGACTAAGAGCTCACTAGCCCAAGAGGGACGAAGAGCATTCTAGGGAGTCCCGGGAGCAGGAGCAAACACCCCAAGGTGAAGGCCATGTGATGTATTCAGAAGACGATGGGAAAAGGCCAGTGTGGCTGTTAGGTAGTGAACAAAGGGAAGAGTGGCTGGACTTGCAGTGATAGGTCATCTTGAGGAGTCTGGCTTTTACCCTGAGAGCAATGGGAAGCCTTAGAGGAGCTGCAAGCAGCACAGCACGTGATCATATTGACACATGTGAACTATTAACCTGACCTCTGTGTAGAAACTGAGGGGAAGGAAGGCAAGGGCAGAGGTAGGGGACGCCAGCAAGGAGGCTGGTCTTCCGGGCCAGGTCTGGACGAGGGTGGTGGCAGCAGACACAGGGAGAAGTGGGCGATCTGGAGGCCCATGGGAAAATCACACTGGCAGGCCTTGATGAAGGAGAAGTCGCTGGTTCATTCATTTGAGCTCCTGGCCAGCTCCATGCCATTTCTGGGGCTAGCTTAATTGTCTCCCTACCTGGGAGGCCGTGGGGTGACGTGTTTCTCGTCCATGCTCTCTCCGTCCTAGCCCAGCTCAGGGCCTTGCACACAATAAGAACTGCCTGAGCACCAACGCTCGACTCAGGTACATCGAACCGCATTGGCTCTGGGGGTCTGGACGTATCTCGTTGCCCAGTCTGGGAGGTACCCCGTTGGCTGTGCCTTGTGAGCCAGGGTCCCTCACACGATGGCCTTCCACGATGAGCGGCTCCCTCATTCTCCTTTCCTGCCTCCAGTACTTCCTGGATGATCTCAGCCGCCAGCCCCCCGCCCCCCTCCCCGCCCCTGTCTGGGATCTCCATCTGTAAAATGGATCTAGGAATAGTAGTTCTCGATTGAATTAACCCGACAGCATCTGTGGAAGTCGTTGGCCCTGTGTCAGGGCCAGATCGCGCAACTAGGAGCGGGGGCCCTTCACGTGGCGGAGGCTTCCTGGTCTGGGGGCCACCGGCTCGGAGGAATTTGCCTGGGAGTCTTCCATCACCGCAGAGACTTCTGGAGCTCGCCCCGTGCTCGGCGAGGGGAGCACCAGACTTGATTTCTCCAGCAGCCCCGCGGGGCGGGGCCAAGAAGGGGCGGGCGGGCGGAGGAGCGGAGGACGCTGGCGGGAGAATGTTCGGAATGTGCCAGGCGCCTCTACCTACCCCAGGAGGGGCAGAGGAAGGGGCCGGCCGAGGGGAGGGGCGAGGGGCGAGGCTCCGGGCGGCCAGGGAAAACCTGTTTGTTCTCCTGCGGGCGGAGCCCAGTCCGCGCCTCCTCGCCTAGCTGCGCGCTCCCCGCTGCGCCCCGCGCCCCGCGCCCGCCTCCCCGGCCCGGCCCGGCCGGGCGCTGCCCACCCGAGGGAGCCCGCGCCCCGCGACCGCCCGACCCTCCACCCGCCCCACGAGCCGGGCACCTGTGCCAGGTAGGGCTGTCGAGTTGCCACGGACGCGGCCCTGCGGGGAGGCAGCTGGGGACACCCAGTCCGTTCCCACCTGGGAACAAGTCAGGGCCTCAGTTTCCCCATCCATAACCCTTACTGGCTCCAAGCATCTCTCTCTGGGTTGCCCTGGGGAGGCAGTGGGTTTCTGGTTTTCGCTGTGAGTGAAGAGGCTGACAGACAGAGGAGGCCAGCGTGCCCTACTAAGGCCAGTGTCCCCCTCGCCTGCCTCAACCCCCGGCCCTGCCCTTTAGGAAAGACGCGGTTTGGTTGCTAGTAAATGGCTAGGAGCCATGATGCTCTGAGTTGACTGTAGGCCTGTAAGAATCAGGGAATCTCACATCCCTGCATCTCCCTGTGTCCATTTTATAGATGAGGAAACTGAGATCCAGAGGGTGGCTCGCCCAGAGGATCCCCTCGATGGATCTGGGGCCCGTGATGGGCATGTGCTGGGTACAGGACAATCTTAGGGAGACCCATGCAGTGGCGGCTGATCACACACAGACAGAAGGCGCCGAATCAGGTGTCACTGGGTGTTATCGCCGGGATCAGCAGTGCACCAGCTCTGTGGCTGGATTGTTTTGATGGGGGAAGGGGGAGCCAAGAGTCTGTCCTTTTTGGAAAGGTAGAGGGATACCTTGCCTTAGAAAAAGGCCGAAAGCTCAGGTGCTCCTGCCTCCTCTGCCACTTCTAAGCTGGGGACACCTGGGTACCCTATCAGTTTAAGGAGGTGACACATCAAGCTGCCTCCCACCCAGGGCTGCTAGGGACTTAGATAAGGTAGGTGGCAGGTGTGCCCCGGCTTTGGAACACCTGAGGCATGGTAGGAATTGTGTTCTTGCTGAGCCATGCACATGGAGCCTTGACAGTGTGGAAGGCTGTGCAGCACCATCTCGACCCAAAGCTGGGAGCCCCAAGACAGAATCTCTCACACTCCATCCAGCAGTGCTCAAGGACTCAGAACCTGGACTAAGTCCTGCCTTGGTCTCATGGCCATTCAGACTCCTGCCCCTCCCATTAATTCCCAGCCCCTGGCTGGGCGCAGTACATTCAGCCATGTGGAGGTGACCGAAGGCACTCAGCGCAGGGCAAGGCATGCAGCAGGTGCTCAAGATCTGTTCATTTCCATCCTCTGGACACTCACGAGTCAAGCAACAGAGATGGTACTTAGGGTGTTGCAGCTCTGAGTAGCATGAAAACATTAGGGACTCCTCAGTCCCGGAGCATCGAGGCACCCCTAGCTGGGAAGATCAGGGAAAGTTTCCTGGAGGAGAAGGGCTTGGAAGCAGGAGAAGCTCAGCATCCACCAGGTCAAGGCCCGCATGTCCTTTGGGGCTGCTCGAGTCTGACCTCCCCCTTACTCTTTAAACATCATAGACCGCTTCTTGCTGAGCTCCTGCACATGGGGGCCCAAAGAGAAATCAGCCCCATGCCTTGCCCTGAGGAGTGACAGAGAGGCCATCTGTCAGTAGGAGTTGCCATCTGAAGGGAAATGGCAGCAGTGATTGTCCACCTCACTTCCTGCTCAGCTCAAGTCCAGACTCCAGAAAAAGCCTTTCCCACGTGAGGGCAGTTATGCCAGCCTCCCTTAGTCTGACTTGTGCTCCTTGTCTTCCCCCTCATTGTCCCCGAGGACTCCTCAGATCTGGCAGGGCAGGGACTCTGGGTCCCCTGCACTGGACCCGGGACCTGGCCATGATAGGCGTCAGCACATGTTCTCTGAACTGTCCTCAGTTGCATGGCAAGCAAAGCCCCCCAATTCTGGCTCAGTGCATTCTGGAGGCCAGAGGCCTGGCTTCCTGCTTCCCCACTCCAGCCTCCACAGGTGACTGATCACTTTGGTGTGGGTTTTGTTTCAAGCCACAACTCATAAGGTGCCAGGTCACATGTAACACAAGCTTTCCTTCTGTCGCTCAGCCCTGAGGCTGCCCCCACTGCCAGTCCCTGGTGGCATGGGACAGGGCCAGTGCCAGAGTGGAGAGCTGCCTTTCAGTGCTCTGGAGCCCTGAGTGACAACCACGCAGCAGTCCAGGCCTTTAGGTCCTCATGTTTAGGGACAGTCCAGGGGCTCTGCATTCATTCCCACTGTGCCCATAGTGAACCGGCTGATGCCAAGACAAGGGCAGTGGCATGGAGGGACCAGTCCCTGACACATGCTCAGGAGAGGTTACCATCATTTCTTCCAAAGACCAAGAAGAGGAGCAGGTGTTGAACTGTCCCACACCTGGTCAGGTGTGTGGCAGGTGAGGGTGGCATCTTTATAGCCTAGTGGTTAAGAGAATGGCTCAGAGGTCAGACTGGGTTCAAACTCTAGCTCAGCCGCCATCCAGTTGTGCAAACTTGGGCCCGTCTTGCAACCCCTGGAGGCCTTGGTTTTCTCACCAGTACAGAAGGGCGGCTGAAGCCAGGAGCACCTGCTACACCGGGTGCCTGCAAGCGCCAGGTGCCTGGCAGGGAAGGTGGCTGAGCCAGGACTATGGTGCCCTCCTCCAGGGCTGTGGTGGCAAGGAGTGAGGTGGGACTAGGTGGAGAGAGAGATGCTGGCTGGGATGTGGGCCCCCACCTGAGGAAGACAGTTTAGAAATTACTGCTGCTGATGCAAACGGTATCTACCCACATTTCAAATGACTCACTAAAGAACACTTAATTCTTAGGGTGATTTCTCATGCCTGCCAAAAAGTCTGACTCATTTTCTTTTTGGTTTTCACTTTTTTTTT